CTAGAAGTTTGAGACCAGTCTGGGCAACATAGTGAGACTCCATCTCTACAAAAAATAATTTTTAAAAATTAGCCAGGCTTGGTGGCACATGCCTGTAGTCCTAGATACTCAGGAGGCTGAGGCAGGAGGATCACTTGAGCTCAGGAGTTTTGAGTTGTGCCATTGCACTCCAACCTAGGTGACAGCCTAGGTGACTTGTTTCTTAAAAAAAAAAAAAAAAAAGATAAGATGACAGCAAGAATGAGGGAGAAAGAAAATAATTTTTAAAAAGAAAAGAAAGCAATCAAGTGAGCATTTTTCTCCTATAACAGAGAAGCACACAGGTTATCAGAAACAGTTTCATTATCAACAGGAGAACTCTCCAAAATCTCTTTATCCCTCACTGAGGAAAGATCAAGGTAGAAGGCTATGTGTACTGCATGAAAATAACAGCCAATCTACTTACAAGGATGGCTGACAAAACTAACATTCCTTTGTAATATTTTCCAAGTATTCTTCAGTTATAACGCAGATATATCAATACAAAAGGAACCTTTCTTTCCAGAGAAACAAAGTTCTATGATTTTCCCAACTCACTGACTAGAAAGGGCTGCAGTATAGTGCATGGGAATTCAAACAGTACCAAGTGGTTTTGCTGATTTGAGGAGACTGAGTTCAGAGATCAGGGATGCCAAGGCAGCTAGAATTTGAAAGCAAAACAGCAAAGAGGCAGCTGCTCAGAAAGAGTGCTCAGGTCATCTACATGGGGTCCTCTTAAGACTTTCCTGAGGCTAGGTACAGTGACTCACACCTGTAATCCCAGTACACTGGGAGGCTGAGGTGGGAGGATCACTTGAGCCGTGGAGTTTGAGACCAGCCTGGGCAATATGGCAAAGCCCTGTCTCTACAAAAAAAACAAAAAAATTAGCTAGGCATGGTAGTGCATGCCTGTAGTCCCAGCTACTTGGGAGGCTGAGGTGGGAGGACTGCTTGAGCCTGGGAGGTCAGCACTGCAGTGAGCCATGATTGTGCCACTGCACTCCAGCCTGAGCGTTAGATCAAGATACTGTATCAAAAAACAAAACCAAATACAAAAAAAACCACAACTTTGGCTGTGTAATCTACAAGTGCATGAAGAAACTACCCAATGCTGTGGAAAGAACCGCCTAAAAGGAGTAACAGAGCAATAACCAGTCCATGTTGCCTCCAGCCAAAGTGGAAAGACATAAGACATTGAGCAGCAATGTCCACGGAAAAATACTGCCTTAGCAGTAACTCAAATAAGCCCTAGCAGAAAGGTTGATCTGAACCCATCCTAACAAAGCAAAAAAAAAAAGCACACCTTGAAACAATCAAACTGACCCCAAGTAACTTAACCGCCTCCCACAACAAAATCCAAAATATTTTAAAAAATGCAACGAAATCCTGGCTCCGAAAACATAAAATTCTTAATCCAACATCCAACCAAAATTTACATGCAAGTAAAGAAAATATAGAAAATATAACCCATAACTAGAAGACAAATCAATCAATAAAAACAGACCCAGAAACCACATCAATGATAAAACTAGCAGGAAAAAAAAGTTTAAATAACCATTATAAATATACTCCACAAGTTTAAGCAGATAGAAGACAACATGAACATGATGAAGAGAAAAGTGGAAGATAGAAAATATGAGTTATTTAGAATAACTAGTTATTCTAGTTGTTCTTTTCTGACTAGGATTGAGTATCTAAACTATTCCAAATTATTTAGAATAATTACTTAGAACAAATAAATAGAATAGTTTAGATACTCAATCCTAGTCAGAAATAAAATCTACTGAGGCACAGGAGTCCATCTGTGTATGGTTCCCCATAGGTGAGAAAGGCATAGCACCCCTTAAGAGTAAATCAATTTCCAGTCTTTAGCAAATAATAGTGATCGATACTAACGGGATTTCCCAAGTAAAATTGTAAACTAACTGCAATAAATGTTTGTGAAAGATTACCAAATACTGCCATCTCTTGTAGTAAACCACAGGCACTGTACTAGACTGAAGTTTTGTCTTTAAAAAATCATCTCGGCCAGGTGCGGTGGCTTATGCCTGTAATCCCAGCACTTTGGGAGGCTGAGGCGGGCAGATCATGAGGTCAGGAGATTGAGACCATCCTGGCTAACACAGTGAAACCCCGTCACTACTAAAAATACAAAAAATTAGCCAGGCGTGGTGTTGGGCGCCTATAGTCCCAGCTACTCGGGAGGGTGAGGCAGGAGAATGGCGTGAACCTAGGAGGCGGAGCTTGTAGTGAGCAGAGATCGCACCACTGCACTCCAGTCTGGGAGACAGAGCCAGACTCCGTCTCAAAAACAAAAAAAAAAGAAAGAAATCATCTCATATTTTAAAACTTTTTCTCTCATACAATTATCATCTCCACATAAATTACTCAGGCACAGGTCCCACTCCACCATACCAACATGTGGAAAAAGCATTAAGTTCTCATCCTAGAACTGACAAAAGTTCCAGATGCAAGAAAAACAATTGCCTTACCCATCAAGGCCGCATCCTCCAAACACTCCTTTGTAGCATCTCTACTGAGGGACATCTGGGCAGGGTGCAGAGTCACACACTCCTCTTGAGAAAAATACACTGCCAGATCCTCAAAGAGTATTGGTCCCTGAAACATAAGAGCCTGTGTCAGTACAAGAGGGTGGAGGGTCAGTCCCTTACTTAACCTAGGAAGGATGAGAAGAGCTAGAAACATCAGATGCACGGGATAAAAGGGCTTGGTGTAAAAGGTTCTTGAGTGCAGGAGTGGGGTAAATGGGTTCTAAGGGGTGGGGTGAGGGTTGGAAAGAAGAGAGTAAACATGGATATTTTTAGGCAGTGGTATAAGGATGGTGGACTGTGACAATTATAGTCTATCTTGGAAGAGAAAAGATGAGGGAACAGCTCTTGGGGGAAAAACCATTAAGTAAGGACGCTCTAAGAAAAGGAGAAGGTTGGGGCCGGGTGCGGTGGCTCATGCCTGTAATCCCAACACTTTGGGAGTCTGAGGGGGGGCGGATGACTTGAGGTCAGGAGTTCAAGACCAGCCTGGCCAATATGGTGAAACCCTGTCTCTAGTAAAATTACAAAAATTAAGGCCGGGCACAGTGGCTCATGCCTGTAACCCCAGCACTTTGGGAGGTGGAGGCGAGTGGATTACCTGAGGTCAGGAGTTCAAGACCAGCCTGACCAACATGGTGAAACTCTGTCTCCACTAAATACAAAAAATTGGCCAGATGTGGTGGCGCATGCCTGTAATCCCAGCTACTTGGGAGGCTGACGCAGGAGAATCATTTGAACCCAGGAGGAAGAGGTTGCAGTTAGCCGAGATTGCGCCACTGCACTCCAGCCTGGGCAACAGAGCAAAATTCCATCTCAAAAAATAAATAAATAAATAAAATAAAATAAAAACAAATTAAAATGAAAATAGCTGGGTGTGGTGGCATGTGCCTGTAGTCCCAGCTACCTGGGAGGCTGGGACAAGAGAATCGCTTGAATCCGGGAAGCAGAGATTGCAAGGAGCTGAGATCGCACCATTGCACTCCAGCCTAGGCATCACAGCGAGACTCCATCTCAAAAAATAAAAAGAAAAAAGAAAAGAAAAGAAGGTTGGGCAGCCCAGGAAGAATCATAAAGAGACAAAGGTTACAGGATTCTCCCAACATCCTTCCCTTTGCTATTTCCTCTCTTTCGTCCCCATGACACTCATTGCTAAGCTCACTCCAGAGCTTCATCCAGGCCTACCCGACCTTCCCTAATGGTGTGATAATGAATCACCTGGGATTTACTATTACTCTACAAGTGCAGAGTCTAGAAATGTGCTTAATTTAAAAATCCATTCAAATTGGATAAGTACCAAATCTGTACTTTTGGGAACCATTCCAGAAAGTCACTTTTAATCCTAGCACTTTGGGAGGTCGAGGTGGGAGGACAGCTGGAGGCCAGGAGTTCCTGGGCAAAGCCGCAAGACTCCATCCCCATAAAGAATTTTTAAAAGTGGCCAGACACTGTGGTATGCGCGCCTCTCAGCTACTCGAGAAGCTGAGGCGCAAGGATTCCCTGAGTTCCAGATGGAGCTATGATGTCAGCACTGAACTCCAGCCAGACAAGCAACACTCCAGCGACAAGGCCAGACCTTATCTCTAAACAAAACAGATAAGACACTGAGAAATTCTCTCAGAGATTCCTCCAAGGGCCCTGCTCCCAGTTGGCAGTTCTGAAAGAAGGAAGTTGGTAAACCACTTCTATATGCCTGGTCTTGGAAAGAAGAACGCTTGGTCAAAGGGCTATTTGGGGCTCAGGTGCACTCCTACCACAACATGAATGCCCAACCCTCCTCCAAAGGAGGGGGTCAGGAAGAGACCGAAAGCAGCAACAAACTTGGACGAAAAAGGTACCTCCACTCACCTGGGCCTCGGGAGTCGGGGGCATGGACGCCATTTGGCGGATGGGGAATGCCTTCTTCAAGACGCCACAGGGACTTCGAGACGAAGCTGCGGGGGGAGAGAATAGTCTTTAAACGGACCTATTCTGCGGCCAAGCTCCTCCAGTACCCCAGCCTCCCTCGATTACCTCCGAACCCCCTTTAAAAACCTACGCTGACTGCTCCTCCTCCTGGCCCGGCCTCGAAAGGAGCCCACTTACCGCTCGGCGGCTAATGACAGGCTTTGCGCTCCCGGACAGGAGCTGCAGAAAGCGACGCCCGACCGGGACGCGACGAAGAACGCCACGGCCGCTGCAAAACTCCCACGCTCTCATGCTCCTCTACGCAAGAGCTGCGGGAAAAGCCGCCGGAAGCGACCCGCCCCCAGCCCTATCGGCCATTCTGCCCTTTGATTGGTCGGAGTTCTCCCGAAGGGGAAGTCCTTCTTTTGTGTTGACCAATCGAACACCTTAACCGAGGACCTGTAGCTACTGGGCAGCTGCGAGAAGTAGTTTTCCTCCTTTTCTCTAAGCAAGCATTTCCGCTTCCGCTGGCAGGGTCTCCTCTGTGAGCTCCGGGCCTGTTTACCCGCTGAAGTAGAGTCTTCTCTTCAGACTAGGGTGAACCCAGAGGGACGTAATGTTTCCGAGAAGAAGGGCAGAAAGAAGACTGGGAGACACCGGAACTCGAAAGAAAATCGGTAACAAAATGTGGGTTTGGCCAACAGTGCCCTGTAGGCCTGAAATTTCGGTCTGGCCAGAGCGGGGTGATTGAGAGGCCGGGGGTTCGGGCCTAGCCTGGGCTTGAGCTGTCCTTTGTGTCTTGGGCGGATGGTGAGGCCGTAGAACGTGAAGGAATGTCTTTTTGTACGTTCACAACGTTGACATCGGTGTAGGCCAGGTTGCTAGGCTCCGACTCAAAGTGTTCTAGAGGCATTATGTATTTTACCCGTAGCTGCAGCCTAACCGAGCCGCGTCAGCTCCATAGTCACAGAGGACCCCACGCGGGTATAGAGCCGTAGGTTTGCGTCGCGGGACATTGTTCGCCCCCAGATACCTCACATTCAGCCTACCCTAGAGCCAGTTATTTCCTATTGTTTGTTGGCGGAAGAGGGAGTGCCCTAGTGTAGAGATTTGGAATTGGAAAATTGAACTCCGTCCCAAGCTCTGACACTGATTGGTTGGTAATCTTGGCCAGTTTACAACTTTGCTTTCCTCAGCTGCAAACAGCTCAGGATGCTTCTCTGGGCTAACTCAGAGGGTAGTTTCAGATTATAAGATAATGTAAGTGAAAGAAATTGTCCGTTTATAAAGGTGTTTCGGGGGAAAAAAAAAAGACGAAAATGATAGGTACCTTCCTTGATAGAAAAGCCTGAAAAGTCTCAACATATTTCCTTATTCTAGTGCCAGGCACATCCCTGTATCTAAAAGCTTAATGAATGGCTGCATGGTTATTAAAACAATATTAGGAGATTTGACAAGTTAGGTAATGTGATTTTGTGGGATATCTGATAGGATAGTTTCAGCTACAAGTAACAGCAAACCCACCGAAATGATTTTCAAAGAGCAGTTGCAGGTTGGTTAATTTGGTGGCCCAGTGACAACATCAAGGTCCCAGTGCTTCTCCTCTGCCACCCTTAGCATGTTGGTAAAGTTGACAGTAGAATCCAGGTAAAATATGCTGACATGTATTGTGTCATGTACCCATCCTAAACTAGTTATTACCAAGAATAAATATCATAATTATTTGGGGCCCATCATGCTTCAGCCCTTGTCACTAGGGGAAGGACCCAGCCTCCCATGATACTCTACCTGCACAAAATCAGGGCTTTGTTACAAATGAAAAGAGATGTGGAAAGTAAGTTAGATAAGAAACAGCAGTATCTGCCACAAATGACATCTCTTGACAGCTAAGAGCTAGACCTTATGGGGATGGATCACAAAAGAGGTACCTGGGGAGTCCCAGTAAAGGTGCTTCCAGGACAGGTGGAAGAATGGTAAGAACAAACTTCCCTACAGGCTAGACCAGTCCAAAGCATACATGTTGAAGAAAAACTAATAGCCTTTATATGAAGGTGTAAGTCAAATAAATGTTCATTATTGAGTCACTGTGGTGTTAACGTAGTCATCTTTCCCTTCTCGGTTTGTGCTTATCTTTTTTTTTTTTTTTTTTTTTTTGAGACAGAGTCTCACTCTGTAGCCAGGCTGGAGTGTGGTGGCACAATGTCAGCTCACTGCAACCTCTGCCTCCTGGGTTCAAGTGATTCTCCTGCCTCAGCCTCCCGAGTAGCTGGCACAGGCACCTGCCACCTGGCTAATTTTTTTTTATTTTTTTTTATTTTTAGTAGAGATGGGGCTGCATCATATTGGCCAAGATGGCCTCGATCTTGTGACCTTGTGATCCACCCGCATTGGCCCCCCAAAGTGCTGGAATTACAAGCATGAGCCACCGTGCCCGGCCTATTTAATGCTTTTTTTTTTTTTTTTTTTTTTTTTTTGAATTTTTTGTGTCCTTTGGTTTTTACCTTGTTCTTTTTTCCCTTTCGGTTTTTTGTTTTTTTTTTTTTTTTTTTTTTTTTTTTTTTTTTTGAGACAGAGTCTCACTCTGTAGCCAGGCTGGAGTGTGGTGGCACAATGTCAGCTCACTGCAACCTCTGCCTCCTGGGTTCAAGTGATTCTCCTGCCTCAGCCTCCCGAGTAGCTGGTACTACAGGTGTGTGCCACCATGGGATGGTCTCGATCTCCTGACCTCGTGATCCGCCCGTCTTGGCCTCCCAAAGTGCTGGGATTACAGGCTTGAGCCACCACGCCCAGCCTTTAATGCTATTCTTACATCAGTGATGTCTCATTGTAGTCTGAGATTCTCCTGATCTGGATTTGTGGCTCTTTCACCAAGAACAGGAGACTCCCACGGCTCTCTTCTTTAAATCCTGTTGCCATAATTACAAAGAAATAAACACAGTTTCCAAGGCTTTGAAATGAAGCCTGTGATATTAACTCAGTGGATTACCAGAGAGAGGGATATACCTGAAATGGGAGAGGAAACAATCTTCCCTAGACTATCTTTCCTAAGAGCTATCAAAACTATAAACAAGTAGACCAAGGAGGAGGAAGCTTGAAAGCTTTATCTTCCTGAAAATAAAGAGATGACATACAAAGTCCAAGATAGACCAAGATTGAAAAATTAGACTGCATTATACCCCTAACTCAGTTTTGTAAAAAATCATCCCGGAGTTTAAGCCTGGGAACTACAGGCGCCCGCCACCCTCGCCCGGCTAGTTTTTTTGTATTTTTTTTTTTTTTTTTTTTTTGAGACGGAGGTCTGCTCTGTCGCCCAGGCTGGGGTGCAGTGGCGGATCTCAGCTCACTGCAAGCTCCACCTCCCGGGTTATCGCCATTCTCCTTGCCTCAGGCCTCCCGAGTAGTTGGGACTCACAGGGTGCCGAGCCAACCTCCGCCCGGCTTAAAGTTCATATTTTTTAGTAAGAGAACGGGGGGTTTCACCGGGTTCAGCCAGGAATGGTCTCGATCTCCTGACCTCGTGGATCCGCCCGTCTCGGCCCCCCAAAGTGCTGTGGATTAACAGGCTTGAGCCACCGCGCCCGGCCAGTTTTTTGTATTTTTTAGTAGAGAACGGGGTTTTCACCTGGTGTTAGC